TAACAGAAATAAGTAAGATACTATTATCAATGTATGGTAAGTGTATGTATGTACTCATTATAGATACATATAATGTGAAGGATATAATAATAGAGAGGAATGAAGATATTGTCTGCTTTGCTTGTGTTACTGAAGTGTACAATGAATGTCAATTAATAGCATCATCAACAACAACAACACTGATACCACAATCAATACAAACTAATGGAACATGTTATTCATTTACTGATAATGGAACATACACTGTATATGCACATGATATTGAGAATGGAATAAAGATACTGACACCAGCAATAGTTATAGAATACACAGTTGACTGGATTAAACCACCAGACACAGGTAATTACAGTAATGAGATAATATACTTGTAAACCCAATACAATTATTGCAGAGAACACATTATCAAGTACAAAAGAGTTCATATTATACCAAACAAGCAGTGATGAATTAATACTTTCAATGGAACCTAGTCTGACTACTTCAGCAATGCTCACTACTGCTACTAACAGTACTGACTATCAAAGTATGATTTGCACAGTATGCTCATGTACATGATTCTGTTATCAATAGGTCAATCACAAATCATTGTTATAATACTGGGAGGTCTCCTTGGACTCACAACATTTACTGTTCTCGTACTATCACTGGCAATGATTGCAATACTGAGGAAGAAAGGTAAAAAGTATGTGTATATTAGTACTCTGTATCATTTCAATATGTTATTAAGGTAAAACAAACTCTATACCTCAAATTCAAGAGGCTAATGACATTTCAGTCACTACAAAAGAGGATCCAGTATATGAAATGATGAACGACATACCATCAAATATTACTAATAACTACTATGAAGCTGTTGCTATCAGTACTACTGATAACTCTATGGTGTATGATGTCCCTGGAACAAAGCCTCAAGTTTCATCTTACCCATACAAAGTTGGACATTTTTAATGATACTTAACTTAATGCACACATTTACAATATTTTAGAGCATGCTAAAGTTATACATGTACATCATGTCAGTGTAAACATTAAAACCATGTTTTATACTAGCACATATTGTTTATGCATTGAACCATGCAGTATAGATTAAGCGAAATGCAAACATCTTACTCTTAGCTAAATAAATGCCATTACCAAAACAGAAACATGCAAAAAAGGATAGACAAACAGATATATGTATATGTACACAAGGTAGCTTAAAAATAAGCATACAAAATTTACATTAGTCACCACACTCATTGTATACCTGTACAGGCAAACATTAAAAGTATTAGTTAAAATGCCGACAACATTAAAGACAGTCTATGTGTAACTATGACTGAGCTATATAAACAATGAACAATCATGAATAATATAGCAATGATACTTTTACAAGTGATAATATAGATTTTGTAAATAAAAGTGTTATAGATAGAAGTAATTCTTGATGCTCATTAATTATTGGTTTTACACTATCTGCTATCTTGTACCATATAAAATGATTATCGTGAATTTTCAGAGTTATTTGAAGAATCACAAAATCTCAAATTATAAAGCTCTCAAAATTTTGAACTGTATGATAACAGACATAATACAATTGGAAAGGTAGGTACAGTTGCATATAAACAACACAGTTTAGAGATCACTGGTTCTGTTACAATTAATAGTATAAACTTCATATGTTTACACTATGTTAATGTGTGAGACTATCCAGTGAACAACATAATCAAAACATATAAACAATCACTATTACAATATTTCCCTGTTGCCTCACACACACACAGTATAATGGAATACAAATACAGACACTACATCAAGTGAGTGACATTATGTAACATGCTGTTTGAATCTTATCAGTAATTGTATGTTCATGGTCCATTGAAGAAAGTTAGAGCTGATTCTGATAAAAATTGGATTTTCATAAATTTTTAATTTGCTCAAAAATCAGGCCAAAGTTCATATACACTATTAGACCAAATTTTGCCAAAATTGAAAAGAAGAGAATTCTCAATCTTCATAACTTTTCTGATGCACATACATGGATTTATGCTGTGTAAAATGTTTGAGCTGAATCTGATCAAATTTGGATTTTTCACAAATTTTAAAAGCTGCTCCAAAATCAGGTAAAAGTCCCTGTACTGTAGTACATGGTCTTGGGCCACATTTTACCAAAAATGAAAGGTAGAAAATTTTCAGTTTTTATAATTTTTCCTGATACATATACATGTTTTTATGTAGTGTAGAAAGTTTGAATTGATTCCAATCAAATTTGAATTTTTTATCTAATTACATCACTCATGATATAGTGAAGTTTCAAATATGTTTATAAGTAAATTTTCTGATTTAATTATTACATTTTATCAACTCCCCAAAAATGCTATCAATGTAATAAAATGGCTGACATTGCTCATTCTATTAACAATTAAAATTTAATCTGTTTCTTAATTGTTTTCGCCATTATAAAGAAAAAATTCACTAAAGGTAGCTGTTAAAACTAAAGCAAACTCAGCATTGTAAAATGAAGCAGCTAAGCAAATAAAAATTGTCAAAACTCATCTGTACCATTACTGTTGATGACATCATAAAGGTATAATAAATTTTCATATTAGGTCACCCCATCTTTTACAAGATGTAAACAAAAATTAATGTGCATAGGTTTACAAAACACTTGTGTACATAATGGCATAAGTTAAATCACTTAAGAGCAATTGTGCGTGCAATAAAGACATGAAAAGGATACAGCAAAAATTGTAACTATGCATGCACAATCATCAAATATTTGTGGTCGCAGTAGTTGAATCATTAGTCCTATAAGATCAGTTTATGCAGTATAAGATGACAATAGTGTTTGTGATACTTATCTACTTCAATGTTCTCCTTGTTAGCTCTGAGAGTAACTATCTTCCCTTCCTGTATCCTACTAACTATTCAATACTTGATGATGTTCTTGATTCTGCTGTAAATGTGTCACTGCCATCCCCATTAAGGTTTGGATTATCATGTCACACTGAAGCATGGGTTAGCTAATCTTATATAGTCAATACTTATCCGTACATAACAACTCTATCTTTAGATAAGTACTCATGGATTCATTAGTTTAGGAAAAAGTTTTGGCAATGCCTACAGACCCAATTCTTTTCCTATTTCTACTCCAGTCATTGCTCCATTTTGGAATGACAATGAATTAACTGGAAGAGGTGAAGCACGCTATACTATTATAACTCCAACAACAAATCTTTCATTGTGCAATCAAGTCAATGATTACTTATCTAATTCAACTGGTAGTAGTATATCTGTTGAATGGATACTGTGGGTCTACTGGTATGACCTGTGTCCATATGGTGATAATATTTGCAATGATACTGAGGTTAATAGTATATATAACTTATATTAAATAATTTTTTGTTGTAGTCTAATCATTTTCAGGTTGTATTAGCTTATCAAAGTAATGCCACATATGCTGTGTTTATATACAAGTGTGGACTCATAGAATGGACAGAATATGATGCTGGTGTTGGTATTAATAGTGGTGAAGGGTATTATATCAATCATCCACTAGCTAATACTAGTAATGTTACTGACATAGACTGCTATGATGTAGTATCAGGATGGACTAATATTGTATACAGACTAGATCAAGGTACTATTAATGGATGTAGCATATTCTTATAGTTTAATTAGTCATAGATAAGTTTGAATTCCTATCTATTACACCTGACAATATTACAGTATCATGGGAACTTAGTATTCCATATATCAATAGTACACTTATTCTGAGTATCACTGATTCACTTCAAACAGTTAATGAAACAAGTAACGTTACTGAATATGACAATGTATACAATTATACTGAAGACCTCTCTTCTTGTAACGAATATACCTTTAAACTGGCACTGCCCATGTCAAGTGGATGTAAGGACAGCATCAGAATCATATCAACAGGTACAACTAATTTATTTTAATAAAATTACAATTATCACTTTTTTAAAAGCACCAAAACCTGACAATGTATCTGCATTATATCTAACCAATGAAACATTAATCATAAGATTTCAAGTATGTATCAGCAGTCAATAATGTATTATAACATTTTACAGATAGATGAGAAGATTACAAATGCAATAAAGTTATTTCTGTTTGCAGCTAATGGACACATTAATACATCAGATCCATTGGATATTGATAGCGTTCAATACATTGATGAGTTTTATATTATACACTGGAATATAAAACTAAATGATCATTCATTGTATTACCTAACAGTATCAGCAATTGGTACGTATGGAACAAGTACTTCTGATCATGTAACTGAAATAAGTAAGATACTATTATTAATGTATGGTAAGTGCATGTATGTACTTATTATAGATACATATAATGTGAAGGATATAATTATAGAAAGGAATGAAGATATTGTCTGTTTTACTTGTGTTACTGAAGTGTTCAATGAATGTCAATTAATGATAGCAACACTGATACCACAATCAATACAAACTAATGGAACATGTTATTCATTTACTGATAATGGAACATACACTGTATATGCACATGATGTTGAGAATGGAATAAAGATACTGACACCAGCAATAGTTATTGAATACACAGTTGACTGGATTGAACCAACACAAACTACTACTAATAATATTGACCATCAAAGTATAATTTGCACAGTATGTATATACATGATTCTGTTGTCAGTAGGTCAATTACAGATCATTATTATAATACTGGGAGGTCTCCTTGGACTCACAACACTTGCTATTCTCATCCTATCACTAGCAATGATTGTAATACTGAGGAAAAAAGGTAAAAGGATACATTGTATTAGTATTCAGGCCC